TGCTTCAAACCTCGCTGGAACATATATGTAGCCTGAACGGTTAAGAACGAACTACAAACATATTAACGCCAAACATTCGGTAGAATTTATAGAATATTGTAAAAATTATGGTCTATTACCAACATATATATATATATATTATATGATCATTTATATAGCGCCTATTAAAAACATTCTCATAGGCGCTTTTACAACTATGGAAATTTTCTACAAGGAAAAAAGATGTCTTCAAATATATATATATATATATATATATATATATACCCACACACACACACACACACATATATATATATATTTGACATTTTTTATTTCATCAGATCAAAACAAAAAAATGATATCCATGAAAAGAAATGATCTGGAAATCGAAAAGAAAATATGGTTTTCATGTAATGATTACCAGTGACAATTGTAAAAATGAGAGCATATTTTAAATATTTTAGTGTAGGTAAACTCACATTCATATTACAAATCCAAAAAAAAACAAAAATGGAATCAAAATTATTTAGTAATCATCTCTTTTACATTTTTATCAGAATGTCGTTTGTAATTATTGAAACACAAATACATATATATATATATATATATGTACGGTTGAAGATTACACCCCATTTTGCAGTTAGGAGTTTTTTAAATAAAATTTCAACAACACGAAGCTGTTTTGTTTCAACTTTATTAAACTGTGAAGTTTGGCTGACGGCCGCTAATGCCATCGTCGGAGCCTAGATTGTAAAACCAAATGAGGAGTTAATAATATAAATTATGAGAAATAGAAAATAGAATATTAGATATTAAAATGAATAAATAAATGAATAACAACCTATATTTTAAAATTAACTCATTATATTGTTGAAAATAAAATAAATGAATAAATTTAAAAGAAAAATTATGAATAAAATTGTTTGCGTATCATCGTAGTTGAAGTGTAGAAAGTTAGCATAGTGACAAGAAGTAATGCAGAAATTATGGGAAGTCGATAATGATATTTAATGATATGACAATTTATTGAAGAATTATTAGATATTTAACAATTGGATATAATATTATTTAGCAATAAATATGTATAAAAAAATATTAAGGCGTGGCAAATAATGAAGTTAGTGAACAAATTGTTTGAGTTTTATGGCGTGAAGAGACAAACGGATTGTTGTTAATGGTGCGTTCTTGTGTGTTATATTCGTATTTATATTTGGTGTGTAGTTGCTGTCTATTGATGACGTTTGGCAATTGAGGCAGTACAACGTCACGATATTGAGTAAAAAGTTGTAAGACGTGGGCGAAATTGTCTGACTGCGTGTTGATTGTTGGTTTATTATTGAGGATGAGAATAGCTTCTTTTATTTTGAGTCTTGAGGGACGACGTTCATTACAAAGTATGCTAGTGTTATTATCAAGAATTTTTCGAGTAACTGGTATGTTGTGCTGCTTATTGAAGTGATCCTTGATAGCGCCTTGCTGTACGTGCATGGTAAGGCGTCTGCGAAGTGTTGTACGTGTGTGTCCAATATATGTTTCCACATCACGGTGTGGCAAAGGGCATCGAAATTAGTACACGACGTTCGTACTATCTAAATTATCTTTTGTAGTGGCTGGACTGTTTTTGATGACTAATTGTTGTGTTTTTGTTGTATCATAATATATTATTAACTTAATCTTTTTATTTTCATCTTCTGATGTGAGATTTGATCTAATGATTTGTTTAATTTGTTTTTCATCAATTAGATAGTTATTATGCATTTGATTTTTGTAGTAGATAGGTATTGTTTGTTGTTCGTGCTGTGGTTGTAGAAGTGGTTGTTTGAATTTCTTGAGAGATTTAGATATGACGTCGTCGATGAGTGTATTTGGATAATTATTATTAATAAGTAACTGTTTGATTCTTTGAATTTCTATATGAAGAGATTCATCGTCGGTAGATAATTTAAAAGCGCGTGTGATGAAGTTTTTAATGACGTTGTTTTTGTATTTGACGGGACAATCGGAATTGTAGTTTAAGCATTGTCCAGAGTTTGTTGGTTTGACGTATGCTTGGGTAGAGAGCTGATTTGCGTGCATGGTGACTAAAGTGTCAAGGAAAGAGATTTTATTATTGTTACTAACTTCAATTGTAAATGATAAGCAAGAGTTGTTCTGGAACAGGTTTTGGAGTTGAAATATGTCAGCTATAGACTTTGTGATGATAAATATATCGTCGACGTAGCGGGCGTAGATAAGCGGTTTGTTTTCTGGATCGGAGAATATCTTAGATTCTAGATTACCCATGTAGAACTCAGCGAAGAGAGGACCTAATGGGGAGCCCATGGCTATGCCGTCTATTTGTAGATACAGTGAGTTATTTATGGCGACAAATGGATTGCGTATGGTACATAGTTGGAGGAGCTCTTTAAGTAAATGAGGAGGAATGTCGAGTTGAGGAAGAGAAGGGTGGTTGTATACATATTGGCAGATAATTTCAATAGTTTGCAGGACTGGTATGTTAGTAAAAAGGCTTTCAACGTCCAGCGACGACAAGTGTCCTGTGGTATCTTTATGGCTATGAATGATGTCGGCAAATTCATAACTTGATTTAACGGAAAAGTTACGGGGTACGTATGGCAAGAGAAGTTGATTGATAGTTTAAGCTAACTGGTAGGTTGGAGTTGGGCATTGAGAGATGATGGGGCGTAGTAGGTTGTTAGGTTTGTGTATTTTTACATTACCATAAATATATCCTGGAGAGTAGTCACCAACGATTGGTGTTAGTTTGACGTTGGACGAACTGAGGTTGATTTGTGCAATCAATTTATTAGCGTCTGTTTTGATATCGGATGTGGGGTCTTTATTAATTGGTGAAAATTTTGTACTATCAGAGAGGATGTTATTAATTTGATGAAGATAGTCGGACCTATTAAGGATAACGTATGTGTTAGACTTGTCAGATTTACGTATGGTAATAGCCTTATTTTGACGTAGTTGTTTGGCAGCGTGAAACATGATGGGCTCTATTGTATGTTTTGTTGGTGTATAACGGTGTCGATGCGCCTCGGCCTGTAACTGACTGTGGAATGAATTATCAAAGTTGATAACACGTTGATTTTTAAGCCTAAGACAATCGGCGTAAAGTGTTTCCAATTCTGTTTGTTTAATTAGTTTTTGATATGGTTTACGTATATGAGTGTTAAGTCCCAGATTCAAAAAGGACGATACGTCTGGTGTTGGCTGATATTTAGATAAATTAACGAAAAATTGTGTATCGTTATTAGGAAGAACGATATGTCCATTATAAAGTTGACTAAGTTTCTTAGTGATAATCCGTTTTTTACTGAGGTTGAAATTGTCGTAACGTTGTTGAACGAAAACGTTGAAGGTGTCATAATTTATGTTAGGATCTTTAGATAAAGATTGAAGAAGATTGTCATATTGTTGCGATAATAATTTATGTTTAATTATTAATTTAGTTAGCTCATTGCCTATAACTTCTTTTGGAGAACTACGTTGGAGACTGGAGGAACCTCGG